TCTGTGCGTGTGCGGTGTATGTCTCTTGCGCGTGTTCTTCCGCGCGCGCGTGTGTGTGTGTGTGTGTGTGTGTGTGTGTGTGTACTTGTGTGTGTGTGTGTGTGTGTGTGTGTGTGTGTACTTGTGTGTGTGTGTTTGTGTGTGCCTGTGTATACATGTATGTATGTGTTGGTGTGTTGGTATCAATTGTATCATGTGTGTTTGTGCGTGTATGTAAGTGTGTGTGTGTGTGTGTGTGTGTGTGTGTGTGTGTGTGTGTGTGTGTGTGTGTGTGTGTGTGTGTGTGCATTCGTGTCTCTGTGTGTGGGAGACTCGGACGTATATCAGTGTATGTGTATGAGTCATAGCGTACTTTACTACAGGCCTTCTCAGCGTGCGGCTGGGGTCTCGGACTGGGGCCCTACTTATATCATTTAAGCATTAACGTTTATTTATCCAGTCGACTCCATATTCAGTCTCTGAGTATTATTTCCAAAAGTAATTACAATATTTAGTCCTAAGTGACATAAAAATAAAGAGCTATTTATAGTTATTTATTTACTACTTAGCCCTATTACTATTAGATCTGTTATGCAATTTGGGGAAAAAGTCGAAATCAACGTCAATATAAACCAATCTAAACAAGACATGACTAGATCTATTTACTGTACAAGCCTTATAAACGAGTAGGGGCCTACTTACCAAGCCAGTTTTGTGTTTCTCTGTAGTATAATCCATGTATCCAGGTGAAATAAGGGTGGGAAATATCGAACAATTAACAATGTATGATTAAACGTTCCAAGTCAGACTGCTGCGTTGCTTTCTGTTGTGGGTTTTTTTTCTTTAGACATTGATCACATCAATTATCAAACTTACCATTTTGCACAAAATTTCTTCTAGTATCAGACATTGATCACATCAATTATTAAACTTACCATTTTGCACAAAATTTCTTCTAGTATCAGTTTCTTTCTTCAAGGGATTGCAGTGTATGTCTATTCTATTTTGATAATTTCAAAATTTTCAATGCAGGTTTTTTGAAAAGCGAGGAGAGGAAGCGTACCAATAGTTTTTTTAAAAAAAGAAGTGTGCCAGAATCTGCCCGTGTTTCTCTTGCATTTCGATGTCAAAACTGTCAGACATGGTTAACTTGTAGAAAGATGTTCTGCAAAAAGAGTGTTTTACAATATTGAACAAAAGAAGAGCAACGAAGGTCCACTGACATGCTCTATCAGAAGGGATATTCAAGTCCAGCTTTTGTAGTGGCCGTACTTTTGGTAGTAGAAGGTTGTCTGTCCGAGTTGAGAAATTTCGTCCAGCTCTTCGTCTTTGCGAGTAGCATTGCCAGCAATATAAATCAGCACAGATTTTGTCTCTCCAACTCAATTAGATTGTCCACAGTTTCTGAAGCCCTTTCGTCTGTTTCAATGTTAAAATTGCAATCGGAGCAGGAATGACCAGGTTCTCCAAGGTTTGAAAGGTCTACATCAAGAGATAGAAGTAGTCTTGATCTGTGAATTTTGATTTGTCCACAATTTGCTGAATGTTAATAAATTAGGTCCCTCCTGAGCCCTATGACATATTGATGGGAGGACTGAAGTAACCGTCTACAAAGTTTAACAAGTTCACTTTCATAACCATATGGCCAGTGCAGTTCACACACAACAGTTTCTTTAGAAACTGATAACTTCGCACTGGATATCACAGAAATCCATGCATTTCTTTCAATCCCATCCTTTGGGAATCTAAACACAGACACTTTCTTTTCACTTGAACTCGCTTTCTCTGAATTAGATCTATTATTTGTTCAGCAACCAAAAACCCAACATTTCCTGCCCATAATGGAAACCTAAATGACAACAACCATACATGCTTCGAAAACCAAATGTTTACCAGTGAATCTAAGAATATTTTTATGAGTTTACACACTGTTGTTGGTGATCGTGAAATGCAAGGTTGGATTCAACAAGAAAGGCAGAATGAAGAGTCTGGTACGAGAGTGACACTTCTTGACTGTACTGGAACGATAACACCTATTGAATCCACACTTCACATTTCTATCATGAACAAAGAACACCACGTAGAGCTATTATATCCAGTACCGGTACAATGAAAATATTGGTGAATAAATATAGATATCTAGCACTTAATGCACAACACGACGCTTTGAATCAATTGAACATTTGATTTTGCCGGGCTTGCGAAAGACTTGCTAGACAGCGAGAAAGGACTGATTTTACACAGTACACAGCTCACGCTTGCACTTGCACTGAGGACTAGATTACACACTATGCAGGAATCTGCCGTGCCAAGGCAGAGCGACGTATCTGCACTTTTTATGATTTTGAGTTACATCGCGTTGCCATTGGAAATAATATGGGCATGGCCCTTTTGTTACGTCTGCTTGCCTCAGTGAAATATTCTATTTGTAGTGCAGATACAAGAAGCAGACTGGGCATAGGCGTCCATTTAAACGAAGATGCAAAAACTAATTAATTATTTTTGCAGATACGTCGGTCTGCTATCTAGGTCAGTAGTGTCATTGGCTGACTAATCGGCGACGCGACACTCGTAAATCAGTGGAGAGAGAAAGGGGTCTAATGTTTCAGTTGCCTCCCTTACAGTAAACACCGTAGGCCCCCAGTCGGAGACCCCAGCCGTACGCTGGGAAGGCCTGTAAGTAAAGAACGCCATGGTATGAGTATAATTGTTAACATATTTATATGGATATTTCTTATGTTTCTGAGTACGTGTGAGTGTCATTAAGTATGTATGTGAGCATACGTGTGAATACATGTCGCGCACTTATGTGAGTATATGTGAATGTGTTTATGAGTGCAGCTTAGGAAGTTCCAGTGGAGCTCAGGCTCCAAAAAAATTTCAAATATTCTCTAGGTGACAATGTTTTCAGGTGCTTTGTCACTATATTAGTATGTGGGTGGGTTGTGCAAGGCTTTAACAGGATGGTTGGGTGAAT